GGCCTCCTCGGGAAGGGGCATTGCAGGAGGGTTAATACCTAGGCCAGCTCCTCATTCAGCCTCTCCTTGGGCACAGGGGCAGCGGGTGCCACGAAGCACAAGCCACATGGCACGGGCCACGCCCTTCAGGCTCCACCCAGAGGAGAGACACGAGCTGGGCTGGGGAGATGCCGATACCTCCATCCCTGCCTAGAGCTGACGGCCGGAGTCTGCCGCTGGCCTCAGTACCCCTTGGACGAGGCCCGTGTTAGCAAGCTGTGCCCAGGCCTTTCCCCCTGCTCAGGTACCAAAGGAGCAGAGCACGAGCATCCCAGGGCTAAACAAGGCCTGAGCTGGCTCCAGGAAGGCTGCACCTGAAGCTCCCAAGACGCACCGTGTTGGGTGGCACGTCGCTGCCCCTCCGAAGTTTTGTGCTACCTTGCAGCACGGCCGCAACCCTGGAGTTCCCTGTAAGTGGCACGCTTGGGTGGTCACCCAGGAGAGAGTCACACGCTGCTCGGTATATGTTTCTATAGGTGGTGCACATCCACAGGTGCCTCTGTGCGCATGACAAAATTTATTCCGCACCAGGGTGGAAAAATGAGACTGCTGGCTTGTGGGCACAGCCGTAACACAGGCCAGTGGCACTTTGAAAAGGGGGCAAATGAGGGCCGTTTTTAGTGTTTGTACAGCACCGAGCGCAACGGGGGCCGCCCACCATTGCTGCTCCTGACGGTCAAAACAATAAATAATTGTAACAGTTCTGGCCAGGCGAGCGTGCTGGGCTGTTGGTTTTTTATAACACGGGCCAGGTGCCGGGGAAGAGAGGAGCCAGATCCAAATCCAGCTGGGGAGGGGGGTTCAGTAACACGTCACCAGCTGAACAGAAGAGCTGCTGTCAGTGTCAGGGGATGGAGGGAAACCTGATAGGCCTGTCCCTCGCTCTCTGGAACTGGACCCAGGTGGCTCCCCAGAGAAACAGCCCCCGGAGCGCCCCGCCCCCCACGGTGATGGAGTTGCCCCCCAGCAAAGCTTTGTGCAGTGAAAGGGTTAAGGGAAAGCACTCAGAGGGAGCCTGGGGTTCGGGGGGAGGTGCTGGCCAGCTGGCAGTAAACGCCCAGGTCTGTGCGGAGGGCCACGGGGAGCGAGGGGTTAACCTGGCCGGCCTGCTTGGGGCCCAGCCCTGATTTCCTCCAGCTGGGGCCCAGCCCCACTCAATCACAGCTGCAAATTGAGAGCAGATGCTGGGAGCTGTTCCCTCCACATTGCAGCCTCCTTGCTCGCTTCCCTGGGTTGCTGCCAGAGCAGGGGGGGTGCAGATTCCTGGGGGGCTCTGAGCTGGGTGGGGGCTCGTCTGGGAGCAGCTGGGGGCTCAGGAGGGAAGGGAGGCAGCAGGGAGCTTGCAGCATCCGGGGAAGGGCAGATTGGAGAGAGGGGATGTGGAGCTCTGAGCTGGGTGGGGGCTCGTCTGGGAGCAGCTGGGGGCTCAGGAGGGAAGGGAGGCAGCAGGGAGCTTGCAGCATCCGGGGAAGGGCAGATTGGAGAGAGGGGATGTGGAGTTGGCCCCTTCTTCACTCCCCTTCCTCAGCTGGGCCTGTGCAGGCTGGCCTCGCT